TGGGGATCAGTGTGGATGGGAAATGGCACTAGTGGATGAGCTCAAATTCTGCCCTGCTTTGATTGGCACAAGTTTCCTTGCAAAGGGAAGAGGGAGGAGGGGAAGGGGAGGAAATCAAAGCTGAGCTTTGCATGGCTCACAGGGAGGAGCAGCTTAGTGAATAGGAACTGCTGCTCCCGCTGCCAGCTCTGTATAAATAGCTCCTTAATAGGATGGTTTGATTCTTTTTTGCTTTTTGTGTCCTCTCAGCCCCCCCAAACTGGAATTAGGCTGGGAAGCTGTGGGGAGGCTCCTTGGGGAATGACATTTTTGCTGCGGCCTTTCACAAACCCCACAACCCCTCCTGAAATCACGAGGACTTTGCACCGGGCTGTTAAAATGCAGCTGCCTCTGGGGAGAAGGCGTCACCTGGTGCCCTGGGTCCTACCCCACCACTTATCTCTGTTTGCTGAATTGCTCTGTGAGCTTCAGGCAATGATGACTTCTGGGTGGAGTAGAAAGCCCAGTGTGGTCGGAGAGCCCTGCCCACTCCCCAGACTCAGCACGCCCTGCCTGCAGCCAGCAGCCCCAGCCAGCACTGCCAGGGCTTCAGCCTGGTGGCTGGAACACTGTGGAAACTTCTGCCAAGGTCAGCCTGAGCTCCCTGCCAGACACAGGGTGCCACAAGTGCCACCTCCCCGTACCTTAATGAGAAGCTCCCGGCTCAGGGAGTGATTGTTCTCGTCGGAGAAGATCTCTGAGAGCTCGTGGAAGGTGCGGAAGCTCTCCCTGCTCGGGGAGAAACACGGGGGGAAGTCAGTGATGGTGCCACCCTAGGGTCTCTTCTGCTCACCCAAAGGACACCCACAATCCCCACAGCTCTAGCAGAGCCTTGCTGTTCAGGGGCTATTCCAGGGTGTTTTGCATGGAATGGAGGAGCAGGTGATCTCCTCACTCTCCTTAGGTCTCTGACACCTCATGCTGGTCCTTGACCTTTGGGCACGCTCCAAGAGGCAATGTTGGAGCTGAGACTATCCCACCTACACATTCAAGGGCATAACCTCCCCCTTGAATCCTCCCCACAGCTGCAGGAGCCCAGAAGCCACTGCTTACCGTAGGACCTCATCCCAGGTCTTCTTCAGCCGGTGAACAGCGTTGCACTGCAGAGCCGAGAGGATGGCTCGGAGGGAGGAGAAGTTCTTCAGGATGCGGCACTCCTGGGGGCAGACAAGAGAGGGCTCAGCGCTAGAGAAAGCCCGGGGGTCTGCCAGGGTTGGCACACCACAGAGCCTCAGCCCTGGGCGAGGCAGGAGGCGAGCAGGGTGGCGAGCTGTCCTACCCGAGCCACTTCGATCCACCGCTCCACCACCTTCGCCCGCTGCTGCGGCTTCAGGGTCCGGTCCCCCAGACAGGTGGCAATGACACAGTTGGCCACGCTGTTGAACTGCGAGACGGTGGCACGGATGGTGGGTGCCAGGTGCTCTTTGCCCTTCTTGTCTCGCTGGGACCAGATGCAGCCCAGGCAGTGGTAAGGCACCACTTTCTTAAACAGCTCCTGGAAGAGAAAGGGATGGAGACGGGTCTCTTTGGGAACCCTGGGAAGGGAAGAGGCCAGGAGGAAAAGGTGGAAGGGAAGAGACAGGCCCGTGCCCAGAGCAGCAGGCAGGAGGTGGGCACAGCACCACCAGCCCGGCTGTTGAATGAATACTCACAGCATCCATCAGCGTGAACTGCTCTGCCACCATCTCCGGGGAGAAGGAGAGGAAATCTGGCTTCCCATCCCCGACCCCGTTCTCCTCCACCAGCTGGAAGGTGCAGCCACCATGGTCCACAGCTGTGAGACACGGCACGAAGCTGAGCTCACAGCGAGCTGGGGCCCACGCCAACCCACACCCCCCACATCCCACCTCCCTGGCTCCCACTTCCCATCTGGCTTCACGCCTGGAGAAACCAGGCTCAGATAAAAGGACAGTCATGTCAAACTGGGTGCAAGTGTCTGCAGGGGATTAAAGGCAGATTAGCTAAGCCGTTTATTAATCCCACTTCTGGTTCAGTGGATTAGCTTCCCAGTGCATCCCCATGTAAACGCAGGCAGGGTCTAGGGGTGCGCAGTCCCCAAAGTTCTGGAGATCCCTTTGGAGACCCAACCAGTAGCACTCTCTCCACCTGCAGCCCCAGATGACCCCAGAGAAGTAGGGGAAAGGGCCCCACCTTCTGCTTCAGCCTCGCTCTTCTCCTGCTGCTGGAATTGGGCCAGCAGGATGCGGGCTCTGCGCTCCAGGTCCGAGCCAGGGATGTTGTGGCGCACGTAAGAGATGAGCTGCTTGAGGCAGGAGAAGTCCGGGGGCTTGCGGAAGTCCTCAGAGTACTGGTCCAGCCAGGCACCCAGGATGGAGGAGATGGTGCTGCAGGGAGGGGGGCAAACAGAGGCAAGTCTGCGTGAGGACTGGGTGCCAGGAGAAACCCGTGTGTGCATGCATGAGCGCCAGGCACCGGGGGCACCCCTGGTACAACAGGTGCCTTTGTACAGAACAGAGGAGCTGCCATCAGAGCCACACGTCCTGTCCACCCACAGCGTGGTCAGACTTACTTCTTCAGCTCCATCCTCTCGTCCACAGCATGCCTGGCATGGTCCCCATTCGCCTGCACGTGGAGCTTGCCATACCTGGGGGGGCACAGCGAGGAGGCAGTGAGCATCCTGGGCTCAGCCGTGTCTCAGGGCTGCCTCTTCTCCCTCCACGTCACCCCCAGCTCTGCCAGGGGTCAGGATGAACCCCTCACACCCTGTCCTGCTGCCCCCACTCTGCCACAGCCCCCACGTTACAAGGAGCCAGCACCAGCCACCTCACAGCAGGGTACCAGCTGGAAGGGCTCCAGCTCTCTGGGAAGTTGTGTCCTCCCTGCCCTGCCCCAAATCCTTCAGGCTGATGGAGTTGGGAGGAGCTCATCAGCCCTCCAAGGCATAGTAGCAGAAGATATTGGGGCTCTCAGGCTCCAGCTGCCTTCTGGGGCTCGGGGCAGCCTCACCTGTTAAGCAGCAGGTCCAGCACTTGCTTGGTGGTGGCAAAGGCCCGGTAAGTGCACAGGAAGATGGTGACATAGGTGGAGTCATTGCCCTTGAAGGCTGAAACCAGGTACTCCACCAGCTTCTCCAAGGTCCCAGCTTTTATTGTCCGCACCTTACACGTCTCGTAGAGGTTTAAGGCCGACTCATTCTCAAACTGCCAGGACAGGAGCAGGAGTCAGTGGGTTGGGTGAGACAGACACATACAAGTACAACGCAGTCCCACCAGCTTCACAAGCCACTGTCTGAGTCTAGGCTTGGACCACAGACCCCCTGCAGTGCCTCTGGCTCTTGTGACGGGCCTGGGGAAGGGAAGCCAGGTCTCCTCAGACACCAAATACCAGCAACCCAGCTGAGAAGACTTGAGCATTTGGGAAATCCCAGAAAAAGCCTCAAGGTTGCCAAAATCTACATGCAAATCAGAGTTCCCCTATTTTGCAAAATGGGGCTTCAGGTAGTTTCCCCTGGGCCCATTCCCATGGGGCAGAGGCCAGCAAGTGCTCCCATGCCCCCACTCCCAGACAAATACAGGATTCCCAGATAAGGCTTGGAAGGACCCACCAGGATGTGACTGTATAGGGGAGCAATAAGAGGGCAAGACATGGGCTGGTATCAAACCTGCCCAGCTCTGACATCAGGTCACCATGTCTCTGGCAGAGAAACATCTCCAAACACACGTGGCAGGAGGCTGGCAGAGCCCCCAGCTTACCCCCAGCCATCGCTGCCCCTTGTTGGCCGTGTGATGGAGCTGCACTTTCCGGAGTGATATGCTGTAGATCACACCATCCTCCAGCTCTTCTCCAATCTCCTGCGTGGAGCTCTGCACGGGAGGACAAGATACACCATGAGATAAGGGGAGGAAAGCGTGGTGGAGATGCTCTGTGGGCTCACACGAGGCACCTTGGCACGGCAAAGGGAACAGCTGGCAGGCAGCGAGTCTCCCTGGCCTGCTCACAGATACAAATTTCTGCTCTGGGGGATGGAGACCACCAAAAATCTGGTGAGGAAAGAGGAGATGCTTCTTAGGGCAGGTCCTCAGGCACACGCCTCTCCTAGCTCCCCCAACCCCACGTGCCAGCGTGGGGGTCTGTGGTGGCTCCAGCTACACAAGGACAATTTGGTTCCCTCCTCCTCCTCCTCCTCTCCCACCACGCTCTGCTGAGTCAGCACCTTTCTTAAGAGGATTTATCCAGATCCTTTTAAACACGGCAGGGATCTCCCCCGCCCTCCATCCCCCTCGCCAAATGGTGGGACAGGAGTAACACGTGGCAAAAGCCACTGCTCAGCAGATGGGGAAAATGCCCCAAAGCAATGAGCCTGTGAGCAGGGGGAGGTGGCCACACGCTGGGGTGCAGGGGCTCGGGGATATGCCCCCAGCACATCACGCTGCCAGCCAGGGGCTTTCCCCGTGACCTGCCTCTCAGCAGCACCAAAACCTCTGAGCACTGGCAACAAGGCAGGGTGCTGGTGAAGCTGCTGTGGGGTGACCCAGGAGGGAGCCCCAGGATGGAGCCCCAGGAGTGACGCTGCTCCCTGCAAAAAATCCTCCTCCCAAACTGCTCCCCGTGAACATAGGAACAGCTGCACCCAAGGGCTCCATCTCCAGATGACACTGCACATCTGGAGAGAGCCTGAGCACCTAACACAGTGTGTAACCACCACCCACCTAACACAGTGTGTAACCACCACCCACCTGACACCGTGTACCCACCACCCGTTAGCACCCCCATCGGAGTGGGGTCACCACGGTCACACCCTGCCCCGGTCAAGTGCCTGTTGTTGAAGGAGTCGAGGCAGCTCCAAGAGAAAGGGGAAAACTTTAACAAGCCTCTCCTTCATGGCTGGAATGAATGAGGACACAGAATCCCCCGGGCAGTGTCACTGAACTCCTTCCACGCTTTCTGCTGAGCCTGCTCTCCTCACTTCACGCCAGGCTAGGGAGGTTTGGTTTGTTGTGGAGCTCCTGACTTTGGCTGTGCTCTGAATACCAGAAGCCTTGCTTGGGATTCACTGGATTCCAGACCAGCCCTGACAGCACCCACACAAGGCAGCGGACAGACATCCCTCCAGACACGTCAGTCCCTCTTTGGTTCCATGCTTTGGGCCAAATTATGGCATAAATTTCTGTTCAGGTATGAAGAGGTCTGAATTTCAAGAATGGAAAAGGCACTCACCCAGCAGCACTGCAGGCCCTGCACCTTCCCAGAGAGTATAACATGAGAACACATCTCCCTCCTGCCTCAGTAAACCCCCTGGGCTGAGGATGGGTGCTGCTGGGGTAGTGCAGACCTGAGCCCAGCTTCTCCCCAGCTTAGCTGGCCCAGGCACAGGCAGGCTTGGCAGCCCTGAGCCCAGATGGTTGGCACCACCCAGCCCACACATGGAGAGGGGCATGAACAAGTCCCTGAGCCCACCCTGACTTCCTGTTCCTCTGCAGCCCCATGCATGCCCACACTGAGAGCCCCAACAGAGCAGCCACCCATGACATTGGCCTCAATGCCAGGAAACAAAACTGTTCCAACACGTCCGTGAGGGGTAGGTGAGCTTGGGAAAGAGCTAAAGGCATTAACAGCCAAAGAGTTGGGTTTCTCCACCATCCTCTCTCCACCAAAAGCTCACAGGAATGAGGTGCTCCTGTGACAGTTGAGTCATCCCTGACCCCCAAGGCAGAGATGCCTTAGCTGGGAATTGGAGGGACTGGCACAACCTCAGGAGAGCAGCTGGCACTGCTGAAGTCTTGTGTCTGCTCTAGGTCAGCCACTTAATAGTGATGGTACCTAACTTGAGCCCAAGCCAGCCAAGTTGTGTTTCCTCCCCCTAGAGATGCCCTTTCCAACAAAAAGAAAGAAAAGCTGTGGGAGCTCTTCCCAGCTTGCCCCCAGAGGCCATCAGAGGCTGGTGCCCACGGCTGTATGACATCCTCCAGGAGTGACAGCAGTAGCTGCCTCTTGAGCACACAAGCCCACAGCCCATGGGGCAGCGACAGAGAAGGGATCACTACCAATGGGGCTTCATGTCAGCTCTCCTGGGATGTCCCCTGGACTTTACCACCCAACCTGCAGGTCAGTCCTACCCTGTGGATCTTCCAGTTACGCTGACTTTGGGCTGAAGGAAAGCTCTGGTCCAGCAGGACCAGACCCTGAGTACAGTCCAGCTCAGATTTGGCTGGGCAGCTGCAGACCTCAGACACAAATATCAAGAAAAATCAGATGTTGAGATGGAATTAAATTAATAAAGAAATCAAATCACATGGGAGGACGAACTGTCCCAGGATCAGCCCATGAATCACGGGCAGCTGCTGTGCAAGCACAGTGGAAAGTGTTGCCGTAAGAGTGCAGGGGGTTCACTCCCTATTTCAGGACACGTGCAGAGGGTACACCCAAATTTAATGTGCGTAGAAGCAAATTTCATTTCCTTCCCATATTTAAGACTGTCAGATTCATTCATATTTTTGTCTTGCTGACTTGTGTGATGTCCCCAAAAGTTCCCCCTTTGCAAGCCACACACGCAGTACGCCGCTTCCCAGCCGCCTTCAGCCAGGCGAGCTGCTACACTGGTACACTTGAAAATTTGGCTATTTATATTCTGTGTGAGCTTCCTCTTTCCTACCACTGCTTCCTCAAGATGCTGATTGTGCATTCCGCACATGTTGGTTAAAAACCAGCAAAGGAAAAAGCAGCAGCAGGACAGAGCCAGTGAAGTCCCACTCCAGGACCTGCACCAAACGCATGTTTCTCTCTTGGCAGATGAGGAGACACAGGGTAGGAGTAGGGCTGGGACAGACACAAAACCTTGACCTGTGGCTTATGTACATGCTGGCCACCAAGAACCCTGCAATCCTGTCTGGCACTCATACCAGGACTTCCAGCAAGTCAACCAAAGATGAATGTCTCCAAAATGGTCTCAAAAGAGCTCTGACAGACAAGTGCTGGGAAATCTTCCTGCAACAGCTACTGCTCCCCGTTGCCTGCCCTACACATCTGCTGGAGTTTTCTGCCCCTCACAGCAGAAAGGAACGTGGGTCGGGGCTCAGCCAGCACAACCACAGCCCAACACGTGCAGATCCTCCTTCCCCAGTGGTTCCACCAGAACAGCTGAGCACCACACCACGGCAGAGATAGAGATGAACAGTCCCTGCCACTTACTGCACCGTGCTGCATCCCACAGGCCCAGGCACTGCTTTAAACAGCTGCAACAAGACTCAGCAAAGCCCTTCTGTGAAAGCACTAACTCTGAGCACACTGATGGCACTTGTACCTTCCACCAAACTCAGACAGAGGGGACTTGGCACCCCAGAAACTGATATCCAACACATTTCAAGGTGTGCACCAAAACAGGGAAGACATAGAAAATGAACATTTGACCCTGATTTCTCCAGCTCAGTGTGCAAGCCTGCTCCTCTGCATACAGAGGAAAAAGGCCTCTTGATGGAGGGGCACCAGGAAAAAACACGTTCAACTCAGGGGTATCAGACACCAAACTCTGCAGAGTCGGAGGCTTTTGCAAAGGCAGCCGTAAGTGAACTCTGCAGGAGTTCATCCCCTGAAATATGAAACGGGAGATCTGCACCAGATGGCTTGCCTGCTTTTAGAGACCGCCCCTTCCAACTGCAGATCGCTCCAGGCTGCATGAGCAATGAGCTCCCCACCAGAGTTCAAAGCACTGGTGACTACACCAGGGAGGAATTCCTGCTCCGTGCAATAAACTTCTACTCTCTGGTGAATGTTCCAGTACACGGCGTGGAGTCGAGCCCCACGTCCTCACACGGAGGTTTAATAATGAGCTCCGAGATGTAGCCAAGGTTCCCCAGCCTGGAGGGAGGGCTGTGGTGTGAGGGACCCTCGCTGGAGCCAGGCAGAGAGCAGCAGGGAATCTGCCCTCATCTCCTCCCCACGGCTGAAGGGAGGGGAAATGCAAAAGCAAAGCAAAATATTGGCTAGGAATCTGCATTTCAGAAAGCCTTTGAGATCGGTCACTAAGGTGGTTTCAGTAAGACAGGAGCAAAGTGTGGGATGAAGTGTGAGCAGGACAGCATCCCTGCATGTTACACACAGACAATCACCCAACAATTACCAGGTCTTAAGAGCTCTGGTCCCACGTGCCCTGGGTTTGAGCACTTGGCCTCCAAAGACCCAAAATAATGAACTGTTATTGGAAAAATGTATTCATTTCAGCACACGTGGAAGAGGCAAAACTGTTTAAAGTGCTTTTACCGACGCTCCCTGGACAGCAGCTGGTTTAACAATCATGATGTTCATGTTGCTCTGCTCCACTTCAGCTGGGCTGCACAGAACGCCCGTCCTACAGACAGGTAGAACACAGCACCGAGAGGTTTTTGCCCTGTGATTTCAAAGGGCTGCTGCCACCAGCCACAAGAGTGAAGCAGATGCTAACCCTGCCCGTGGGACGCAGGGAACTCGTGCCTGTTGGGAGTTAACAGTCTTGCTGGCTAATGAGACACAAAAAGGCAGAGAGGAGCCTCAGAGACATCACCAGGAGCTTCCCATCGAAGCTCCGCATCTGCACAGGTTTGGAATGACTTGACAAAAGCTGGTAGAGCTAGGAACAGAAAATGGGGGTTTGGTCTTTACAACCCCCAGCCCCTTCTCAGAATAATCCCTTCCCACTGGCAATGGGAAATGGGCCTTTTCAGAAACAAAGAAACCAGCTCCACCAAGGACCACGTCTTCCATGGTTGACACAAGCCACAAGTTCACTTTCGTTTCTTTCTCAAGACCAAACCCTGAACCCACACGACAACGAGCAGAGACTTTGGGGCCTCTTATGTAAACCAAAGGGTACGACATTATGTAAAAGGAAATAGGAAAAAAGCCACCCCCATCTAGTGAAAGGAAAACAACGGCAGTTCCGGGAACCAAACGACGACCACAAAAGCAGAA